TATACCTTTAGTATGTTGACCTGATATTTACCTGTAGTGTACCTATAGTTTAAGATATGCTGTCAATAAAGGAGCAATACAAAAAATTACTAAATAGGATACTCTTCAGTTGTGTGACTGCTGTTCATTTAGAAAGACAATTGTATTGTATCTGAATTTGTATTTCATTAATTAAAATGTAGCGGAAACGTGGTTGTATCATACAAATACTGTGTACTGAACTGATTCATCACCATCCCCTTACTGTATATACCGTCCACTGCACTTACACTCTGAAACACACAACCCACTGAAATACAATGAAATAAGACAGACAGAGACAGAGCAATTGTGCAAGAGAGAGAGAGAGAGAGAGAGAGAGAGAGAGAGAGAGAGAGAGAGAGAGAGAGACAGAGAGCCTGGACCATAATGGTAGTGATATTGTGTGAGAGATACAGAAAGAGGTAGATGGAGCACCGAAAGCAAAGTTGAAACACTATCGGTTGAGAGGTTGATTCGACTCTGTCTATTTAACTTTCACTCTAGTTCTCCTTCTCTCTTGCCCCCCCCCCATATCTCATTGCCTGCCCCCACATCCCGAGATTCACTGTTTCTCAACCCTTCTCCCACGAACCAGAATCCCTTTAAAATTCACTATTACCTGCTCCATCCCGAGAGAGCAGCCATTTAGGAGAGAGTCCGATCACACAGTGGGCACACTACGCCCCTCTCTCCCCCTGGGTGATAGTCCAAAACCTGACCTGACACCTGACCAGGCACAGTGTTGCTCTGTAGCAGATGGGCGGGGTTTCCAGTTCTACCTGAAACCAGCAGATGCAGCTTTAAATCAAACCCACCTTTACAAATACTAGACCTACATGTATATGTTGACCTGATATTTACCTGTCCCTTCTGTACTTTTAACAGGAACCTTTCACCAGAGAACAAGGAGGAGGGGAGGGCTGGGTGGTGCGGTGAGGGTAGGAGGGGTTAGAGGTAAAATTAAAGAAAAAAAACGTCAGCGCTGTGGATGGAAACCAGGTTTGCAACTTGGCATACACTGGGCGAAAGTAAGAGGATTGGACAGGTTTTGGAAAGAGTAACAGAGTGATGGGAGACAGGGAGAAGGGGAAGTTTAATTGGTTCCACCTGGTTGGGAGTGGCGAAGAAAATAAGCAGGATGTGAGTGTGAGTATGTGCATGTGCACACAGGTGCACGGCTACAAATAAAGGTCATGGCTAGGTCTGGTGTTATGTGGCATAAATCCAGACCTGAAAGCTGATTTGCCTGTGTGTGTGTGTGTGTGTGTGTGTGTGTGTGTGTACATGTGTATTAGATGTGAGTCTCTGCTGCCTGCTGGTTCAAACAGCCCAGAGCTTACGTGAGAGAAACAGCAGCTCCGTGGCTTCACGACCGAGGTTGAACTCAACCAATACTATTATTTCTGCCTCGAGAGCAGCTCTGCCATGCTGTGATCTGTTCGATGGGATAGACACATCATATTAACAACTTTTTCAACATAAAAAAAGAAATGAATATCAGATCAAATCTCATCAATCACAGTTTTTGCTCCTTGGGATGCCTCAAGGGAGAATCTATTTGCAACAGTAATCACAGGGCTAAAGACTGCAGCAGTTTAAAAAGCCAAGCACACAAAGCAGGGTAGCTTCCCATGATCTCCTCACAACAGCATGAGCTGACAGGATCCCAGTGGCAACAATGCCACCGGTTTGACACACTAAACACTTCCCTGGAAAAACAGGCAAATCCTAAAAACAGGAAAAGAAAAATGTTTCTGTGACAAAAAAAAAAAAACCTAGAGCAAGCTACAAGTTGTGTCAGATCTCAAGAGTGTGCTTCATACTCTTGTCAGTCCCTCTCCAAGGACTCCCAGAGGACTGTGTGCAAGTCTTAGTGGAGCCAGATGGCCCCCATCTTAGGTATTCAGCTGAGGCAGTGGAGCAACAGCCAAAGAGGTGTCACAGTCGGTGCTAAACGCACCCTGCCTCTGCCACCAACATAAGCACCCAAACACACGAACATACACACACACGGAGTAGAGACAACAGAAGAGAGGGTGGGGTTCTGTCATTGGCACGGTATAGTATATGTATATATATATATATATATATATAAAAAAAGACTATGGAGATGGGGTTTCTGGTTAGGCTGCATATCTTTTTGTGTGACGTAATGTCTGTGGGTTTGTGGAGTAGTTGCATGTTTCAGAATGTCTTTATCTTGGTATGTGAGCAAGTTTTTTATAGATGTGAGTTGCTGGATGTGCAGAATGTGTTGGATGTGGTCATGTGCATGCAAATTGCTGCGCATATGTGTGTATATCTTTGCTGTATGTGTGAATAGCTTTGCCAATGTAGACAGGCATTGCAGTGTGTGTGTGTGTGTGTGTGTGTGTGTGTGTGTGTGTGTGTGTGTCTGGTAAACATTGTGCTGTTGTTAATTTTCTTTCAAACTCAGAGCAGAGCACCCTGCTGTCATGGTAGATGAGTTCACAATAGGACAGAAAAAGCTGGTATACTGCACCGTTCTGTGTGTTTATGTCTGCCGAAAAGTGACAATTCACATTTCTATAGGAAGGCTACTGGACTTGCTTGAGGTTCTTGAAGAGGTTTCACCTCTCATCTAATAAAGAAGCTATTTGAATACACCATGTGAGCTGTGTGACCAAGAATCTTCACAGACATGAAACGGTCAGTATTCACATTCATTTCAATGTCCAGCGAGATTCGTGATGCATCGATGCAAGCATGACAGTGATGTATAAGTCATGTATGTTTGTTTATGTGTATGTTATTCTGTGTGTTTGTTAACATGAATGTGTGGGAGAGTGTGGTGCTTGCTGCTGTATTTTCTTATAAATGTGTGCCACGGCTTTCCGGCCAAGTCACCCATCGTGGCGACCCATTTTCTGCCTCTCCAGATCCCAGACCACAAACCCTCTGTTTACTGCGGATGTGTCCCTTGTGCCTTGTCCCATATCCCATAATCCTTTGCCCCTGTTCCAAGAACCCATGTTTGCCTATTGTCCTCCTCACCTGTTCTACACTGCCAATCGTCCGCAACACCCCGTTGTCTCCCTTCATCTCTAGCCAACTTTTCTCCATTTTCTTTTCCTATTTGTTCCTCTGGTTTGCTCCACTTCCATATCTACGTACATCCACCCTCACTTTTTCACTTTCTACCCATTTTCACTTCTCACCTCTCTCTACACCGTTGCATTTCTGTGTTTTCTGTGAATTAAATTATATCTCTCTTCTCTCATACTCTCCATCTTTCTGCCTTCTGAAAGCTGATGGGTTAATGCAGCGGGGCCCGACCTCATTTAAGAGAGAGAGAACGCACTGCTCTCCTCCTCTGCTGCTCATGTTGCACCTTCACTCTCTCATCATCACACTGGCACCCCTCACTTCGCTGTTCGGTCTTGCCTGGGCAGGAGAGGAGCCGTCTTCCTCTGCGCTCTTGAGGAAACCTTGTCGAGTTGATTCCAAGAACTTTTCATTTTCCTTCTGGTCCTGTGGACTGCCCTGGGTTTGCCCTGTACTCCTTCAAACACCAACATACACACACCGCTGCACACACTGACGTGCCCATGCCTGGCCTTGTAGTTCAAACTTTGGTGTGCTTTTTCAATTTCTTGTTTTCAATCTATCTGTGTGTCCACTGTTTCTTTGTAAGGGATTTTTCCGGACTTGATTGACACAAAAGTCCTTCAGTACAGCTCCAGACTGCTCCCTGCTCACTCAGTGTACATCACTCCAGGCAAAGACCTGAGAAAAACTGTCACAAATGTGAACGTACATATAATTTCTAAGTTTAGGTATCACATTTCAAAATGTATATCAAGTTTTGAAGGGCGCCTGAGGCACTCACACCACCCCCTAGCACCCAACAACATGCTTGCAGGGTGGGGGGTTTGTTGCTAACAATAACTAACCCAGGATGCTGGGCCAGGCTTCCAATCCCTGCTCCAACATGCATCTGACAGCCAGGGAGGCCTAGCTCGTGTGCTGCCAGCCAGCCAGCCAGCCAGCAATAGCTCAGCTTCATCCAACCCTGGAAACATGGCAGATGGCGGCAGGAGAGAACAGAAAAGAAGAGAGAAGACGCTGGGTGTGTGTCTGTCTATGTTTGTGAGGCAGACAGAGTCAGGTAGACTGAGAGAGAAGAACGCGCAAGTGTGTGACCACATACTTGCCCGACTCTGATACTGTCCTCCATGACCTCTACGCTTGAGCTAAACAAATAACGTCTTTGCTGAAACTAAACTAGCACCTATAGAAGCCTCTCAATAAAGGTCCACAGACCCGAGCTTTCGCTGATTTCATCTACACACATATTAGACGGTTTTGTTATTTTACACCTGTTTGTGTGTGAGACTCTGTGTGTGTGTGTGTGTGTGTGTGTGTGTGTGTGTGTGACTATGTGCGTCCAGACACATCTGTCAGTCCCTGTGCCATGCCTGTCTATGGGTGACCAATCAATCTTTTTCATTCAGGGACCCTGCGGGTTTTCATCACAAGCAAATAGAGGTTCAGCTCTTACATGAATGGACAGTTGATTAGTGGCATCAAATAGATGGACTCTTGATAAACAGCCTGCACACTCTCCCATCTGCTGCAAGTGAAAACGAGTCTCTTTTAGGCTGTGACGGAAATTTTGGAAAATAATTCACCACCACTTAACTATGTAAGATGAAATACGCAATCATTATATGGTGACATACAAAGTGAAGTACACAATTGTATATTTTACAACATACATGATTTTAAAGCTCTTACAGCTAAAAGTCAAAACGGCTTTGAATGGAACTTCCTACAGAGATTCTAAGCAGAAAGACTTCAAGGTTCAGCCCTCACTTACTGTCAAGTGCAGTTAAAAAACTCCAAGGCAAGATGTCATCATAAAAAAAAAAAAAAACCTGAGGAGCTCCCGGATGTCCACTTTAATGATTTATTTTGCAGTTACCCCTCCGCACACTGTTTCATAATGCAGGACTCACCTCGAATAATGGACAGCTTGGCATTGACGGTGATCTCGCCCTCGCTGTTCTCTGCCACGCACTCATAGATGTTCTCATCACGCGGCGCTCGGAGAGGCTGGATTCTGAGGACGGCGCCGGCACCCTCGTCAAACTCAATCGTCTGTGTGGTAAGGAATAGGGTCAGGTTAGACACTTCTGGGATTCCAGTAGAAATGCTAATAGTTTTGAACCCAAGCAGCCTGGTGTGGGCGAGTATTAGCACAGGGTATCAGTGCTAACTTTTGTCTCAGAAGTACATTCATTTGTTTAGTGTTAACTGTCTGATTGTGTAAGGTATAAGGTTGAGAGGAAATCTGCTTCCCTATGTCGATCCTAAATTTGAGACGTACAGAAGTGAGTTAGAACAAGATATCCTTGGCTGGAAAGGTACTGTGTTTCTTGTCTTTTATAGGCTTTGGTACTCGTAAATAGAGCTATAATGTAACACACCCCCACTCTCTCTCGTTCAACACACACACACACACACACACACACACACACACACACACACACACAGCACCACACACACACACACACACACACACACACACACACACACACACACACACACACAAAGAATTCCAGTCCCATATCTTTATGCGTGATGCGCTTACTTCTGTGTGTTTTCATTTCTTCTTTTTATCTGTAATTATGCCCTTTGTTCTCTTTAAAGCCCTTTGTTTGGAACCTTGTTGAAAGCGCTTTTTTAAAACAAACTCAAACTAAACCCAGAACGCAACATGTGCTCAGAATACTGAAAATACTGCCATCATTACATTTAAGAAGAACTAGATAAACATTAAAACCCTTTGTATTTGAATTGTCATGATACTTTTTTTATGTGACAGAAACTCAGGCTTCTCACAGTAACTGAATGATTTTTCTATTAATTCTCCAATATAGATAAAAGTCTGCGCATTGAGTTCTCAAATGTGTGTATCATTCAAAAAACTTGACAGCAGAAGTAATTATATTGCTTGACTGCCAGTTTCCTAATTCAGACTAATTGCATATCAGCATCCTGATGTTTTGGATGTTGAGAACAATGGAGTGCATTTGAAATAGTATGAACTTGCCAATAAGCGAATTTTCTAATAACTGAAAATCCATTTTAACAGTGTCCTCATTACAATCAGTAGAGCTACTTTACCTTTAGTGACCTTTTAAATTTGTCTGTCTTTTAAAATGTGACGTGAGTGGGTGTGATTGACAGCAGGGCAGTTCTGACACAGTCGTTCCAGAAACTGGCCACTGGCCGACATCTGAAAGGCCGCAGGTTTGATCTCTTTTAAAATGAATACACCAACAGCTATGTATACTACAGTGAGAAACTGAACCTCAAGACTTGGGTAAAAGACTAGAATTTAAATGGTGGGATTTCTGAACCAATTACCCCTTTCTTTCAGTACAGACGGTCATTTCCAGAACTTATCGCTTTTGCTCTAATTCTGGATGGATGAAGCGTTAGAGAAGATGGCCAACCTGTTTGTCAGTCTCACTGCAAACCTTCTCTACCAATATCCCTCCTTCCTCAGAGGAGCTTACACCATCTCAACGAAGGGTTCACTGTTGAGATCTCTGAGCAAAACATGACTTTGAGATACAAGTACAAGTCTTCAGCAGCCCCGCTGCTCCACTGCTGCACATCTCAGAGCTGAGCCGTTAATTAGGCTAAAAACACTGCAGAGCACGGCATCACGATCGATATCAAAGCAGCTGTCTAGAGGGTAGAACAGAAAAAAAAAAAAAAATCATAACTACTTCAAAACCCCTTTACAAATTTTTTATTTCATGCTAAACGGAGGAAAAGAAGCGTCCGTTCTGGCGGGCTGCTTTACGCCCTTGGCTTTGTTTCCCACTTAGCATGCAAGAGAAGAGAACGTACAAACACGACTTGTCTTTTTATTTTGTCCTCCGTTGAGATGCTGCTTTCCCCTGTGTTGATGTTGTTGTCATTTTTTTTTTTTTTTTTTTCTTTCTTTTTAGCCCCCTCCCCTGTGGTTGTCTTCATGCTGGAGTGTGTGTGTGTGTGTGTCTATCTCTGCGCACTGCCGTCATCCTTAACGAAAAGCAACTTTTTAATTAAGAGACACTGAGCATCAATCAAGACTTTTAGAGATGCCATCTGGGATGCCTGCCGAGAACTGAACAACAAACATCATGAATAACACACAGAAAGACACATTCACACAGACAGGGCTGCATGCAGAAAAGAAAAGCCCAGTGCTAGAAACAGGAATGTGACAACGGCAGAGCCAGTCAAGTGCAAAGAGGACAGAATCGGAGGAATGGGAGAGCTCTGCATTGCATTACTGGGCAACTGTAGCTAATGGAGGACCAGCACATCACTCAGAGGTTAGCACAGCCAGTCCATGAAAAGATCGGTAGCTGTTGTCCAGAACTATCTGTGAAAACTGTGGGTGAAGAAAGCAAATGAAAACACCCTTTTCAAAAAAGACTGCGTGGGAACCCAATTGCAATAGAAGGCTGTGCTTTTAATGTGAATGTAGTGATGAAAAAACAGCATGTGTGGACAAATGAAGGTTAAAAGAGTGCAACGTGGGGGCTAAGATCATTTAAGCTTAATGCTTTAACTGACTTCTCTCTGTAAACTGTAAGATATGTGTTAGTAGCGTCTCTGGAGCATAAAATTGTCAATACAGCTAAATCTTATTTGTTAGTGGTAAACACAGCTGCAAGATTACAGCATAATTTATGATGTAGTCACAACTATTATCAATGAACAGCAGTTCCTCCAACTTGTTAATGTTTATTGACATGCATTTCAAGTATGCATTTCATTTTTTCTTTTTTTTTGTCATTTTACAAAATAAACTTTGGAATAACCAGATATGATATATTACATTTTAGACACCTTAACTTTCAAGAACTGCCTTTGAATATCTACTGTGATATAATTAGTTTTTCATCTTATTCCATAGTGTTGTGTGACAGTACAGCCACAGGAATGGCCTGTTACTAACCACAAAGTCGGCCCTCCACACCTCAGGTGTGCAGCAGTGATGGACTCACCTCGATGCGCTGGGAGTTGACCTTCTTGCCTTTCTTGTTCCAGCTAACCCTCGGCTTGGGGTCGCCTGTCGCCTGGCAGACAAAGGAGACCACGCCCCCCGAGACGCCAATCTGGTCGACGGGAACTTTAGTGAACCGCGGTGGTGCTAAGGAGTGAGGAAGAGGAGGGAGACAGAGAGAAAGAGACATTAGCGCCACTGGAGCTAACTCCATTCCTCTGAAGACAGTATTAAATGAGTGGAATTACATTTTCTACAAAGTACAAGACTTCCAAATGCCAATTTGAGTGCATGCACATACATCCACACACAGACACACAACTCTGTAATGTCACACAAATCCACACTAGCCTGTTCTTGCAACGCCTCCTGTATCTTTATGTAGTTCTCACTGTACCACACACCCACACACACTGTTCTGTAGCAGAGAGCAGACTCGGATAAGGAAGGGAGAAAGCCAGTTTGAGTCGTGGAGAGAAAATAAAATAAATACCTCAACAGACAGACGATACACAGACGGACAGATACCGGATTGATAGATGAGCTACTATGGTTAGATGGCGACCTATCTATCCCATCTCAAATCTCATGTGTACCACAGTGGGATTTGATGGCCATTGTGGTGACTGAACCTGCCGCTTTCTTTCTGACGGGGCGGCCCCTTTAATCACTGGGCCATGTCCTCATTCTGAATTACCCCCCGCAGTACAAACCTGGGTTGAAATTAAATAACTATGGCTTTCCCCATCTAGTAGCTCACTTTCAATGCTGTGTAGCTTCGTGTGTTGATCAAGACACTGTGAATTTATACGTTGATGTCGTGCCAAGGTGCTGATGATCAGTAAGAAAAAAATACGGCCCCATAGGGAAAGGCAGTCTGGATACCACCGCATATTGAGCAAACCCTCGGAAAGAGACATAAAGAAGATGAGGCGGTAAAAGTGAGTTTTTATTTTAATTTGCATGACATTGTAATAAAGCGTTCAAAAATGAGAAGTGATAATTGCACTGACAAAGCCACAATCAGTAGTTCAATTCTCACGTGGATCACACATAGTAAAAAATTATGCACTCATAGAACTGAGATCCTGTCATTAAACTGTCCATCATGTGTTAGTAATTTCTGTGCTTTGGGTGGTGGCATTAAAAAAAATAAAAAATAAAAAATTTCCCCCCTAATCGCTGCAGTTGCAGTACATTTGAGACAACAAGCCTGGTAGAAAGAGGAAAAGAGAGAGAAAACATAGTCTCCTGGGGAACTTGTTAAATCCGAATCATACAGATATGTGTGGATGATCAAACGGCCAGCGCATAACGTCAAATTAATAATTAAGGGACCATGGGCCGACACCAGTCTCCAGGCACAGCTAAACACATATGAAGGAGAATTCCTGCATTCATTATCAGGGTGAGGAGAGATAGAGAGTGGGTATTTTAAGAGAGAACGAGGCAAAGAGAAATAGTGTAAGACAAGGGAACGGAAAAGAAGGGTGAGAGTACTGCCTCGGGAAAGCAGAGGCACCGCATGTAAAGTTCATCTCATCGCCTCCAACTAACACCCAAAATGTTACTGATGCAAATATTACAACGACATACACAAACTAACTTAACTTAGTGCTTAATGCTTAGTTAGCCCATGTAGAATGGGCTCGCTAAAAGGATGAGTGGTTACGCGCATCATAACCGACACCGAAACGTGATCCTGCCCTGCTTATGAGTTTGTGATACAAATCTAACTGTCATTTTCCAAAATTAAAATGTATGCAAATGCAAGATTACCGCTGAAGGTAAAAGGTATATGCTCATTATGCTACTCATGGTCAAACAAAGAAAAAAAAATGCTGTCCACTAGAAACCACTGCTGCTGTAATATGTTTGAGACGAGCAGTCAGCAGCCAGAGGTGCTCACTTGCAGATGAGCCGAGTCACTCTTATCTTGCTTTGATTTGTGTCTGCTTTATCATCCTTTGTTCTGAGGTAATTTCATGCATATGTAGCTCAAGGGGTAAAACATGACACTGACTACAAGGGCAGTGGTAGTGGAACCACGCGTGCTAAAAAGTGTACTTTTACTTTAAAAGTGTCGCCTGCACGGCGCATGTGAATAAAACCGTCATACATGATGAAACATCATTCGGACAGGCCGCGAGCGCTGGAGATTGATGGACAACACACTGAGCTAAATAAATCAGCCACAGGGCAGGGATGAAACTCTTCTACTTTAATAAGAAGTATTAAAGGGATGTGTTGCTGGCAATCATTTTAATGTTAGAAATATTGATTCCTGGCCTTCTGATGGTCAAATGAAAGCATATTGATTGTTCCTCCTTCTTCAAAATATTTTTTAGCCCTCTTTGAATCCAACTCTACACCTGTTAAAATAACCTCTGAGGAAGTCACACTCCCTGATGCGGTGTAAAGGTTTTTAGGATATAATGTTTTAGGACGATTTCTGCAACCTGACAATCCTCTATTAAGTATCAGTATCTTATCATTCAATACTATATTGTAAACGAATATTTAAGATAGCCCATTAAGGTCTAAAAATGAGAACTCCATTTATATTGGACAATCATTTTTGAGTGGGTGACATGACATTGCAGTTATGGTAAGTTACTGAGAGTGTTTTTGAGTGATATGTGGTGGCGGTAGTTTGAGGGACTGCTCTCAGTAGCTGCAGTTACTTTCTTTTCCATTCTGATCAAAATCATTCTGACTGAAGATTTCTGTTCAACACTGCTGACATGGGATGTGATTTAATACGGTCTGGTGTTTACATGCATCGGCGTGTTTAATCAGAACAGCTTCTTTACGAGAGCAAAAGTGATGAATACATCACGCAATCATCTTCCTCAACGGCTATCTTATCTGTTTGGAATGTGTTGTGTGAGCTACTCCCTGAAGACGGATATCTATTGTCTGTTCGGCGCAGCAGTCTCTGTTATTGTCCAACAATTATTATCCCATAATGTTCACTTATTATTGAGAGTTTGTGTTAAAACCAAACTGTCAGCAGAGGAGCAGCTTGAGTTGGAAGCCGCCATTTTTGGGAAGTGGAGAAATGTAAGTACCCCACACATTTCTGTGAAGATGGAGGGCATTTATGAATTATGAAAAGGTATAAACTACCCCACTGCAAATATGTTCCACACCAAAATAGCCTAAAATAATAATAAAATAAGTCACTATCCATCCATTGTGTATATACTACAAAGGTTCTAGCACAAAGGAATAGGTCTACTTTATCTGGTGCATACAATGATCCCTTTTGGCACTTTATACTCTCAATTTCCATTCTGAAACTGCGCGACACAGCTTTACACAACACAGCTCCTCTGCATTTGACCTCCACTTACAATGTGCCCTCTGTCGAGACAGAAGAGGGATTTACACAGAGCAGGCCTGTGGCAGTGGTTCTGTTGAAGGCCAGCGCTCTTTGATTAGTTTTCCCCTGGACCATTCGACATTTCCACCCAGTTGCCTTCTCTCTCTCTCTCTTTTCCTCTTGCTCCATAGGATGAGAGAGATGTACAATAAATGTGCTTGCCCACATGTCAGTCTGAGTTTAACTCCTGACAGATTCAGGATTTTTTTTTTTTTTTTTCATAATGTACTAAATACAGTTTTCAACATTACCTCAGGAAGGTTTAAAGTTAGGGCCTGGTAGGAAATGTGTATGAAATGAAAAAGAATGAGACAGAGGAAGAGGAGTGCAGTGGGAGGTGGCAAGGTCAGTGGTAAAGCGAAAGCTGAAAGAAGAGAGAAGAGAAGGTGACAGGAGGTGCAGGGATGAGAAGAGATGATGTGAAGAGTGAGCACAGGACTAAAAGAGGTAAATATTTCATCAAAAAAGAAAGTTTTTGTGACTTTTATCCTGTGGTCTTCTTTCTTTTTATTTGTAGTTATTGCTTGCTGTTTTTCTCGAAAACAAACAGACAAAAACATGAGATTCACAGGACTTTTATACAGACACTAAATAGATAAATGACATTTTCATAGCATATCAAGTCTAATTTCTTCTGCTTACATCTCCCCATAGCAGAAGATTCTCACCTGTACCTGCTAATCGACTTCATCTTCTTTCTGCCTGAATGCATTTAGGAGATACTGTAAATGTAAATGTCTGTTGTGCACCCTGCACAATCCCTGTGAACTACAGCTGTTATTTCTGTACCTTATGTTCAGCAGATATACACTGACCGCCGGTCACATTGTTAAGTATGAGCAACACAAGTCTGTTTTTAAAAGACCAAAACCGCCTCTCTAAAGCAACATTCAATAACTATGAGAAAATAGTAAAAGAGCCTGATACATTTTTAGATTGATATTCTACATTTCCCTGAAAGTATCTCACATGGTCATCATACCAGCTGTGAGGCAGCACACAGCTGCACAAAAACAGAGTCAATGAAAGAAACCAGGAAAGTGGTTTGCTATCTGAGCCACAGAAACAGGTTTTGCGCCTTTGTGTTTGTTGTGTGAGAAAGGGAGACTAAAGAATGCGCATTCCCCCAACATTTGACACATTCATATTCGACTGCTGTCAGAAGTTAATCTCTGGCCTTCACCGTTCACACAGACATATGTCTAAAAGTGAAATTCCATAGGCTTTACTGCAAGCCACAGAATTATACATAATTATATTACATAAGCACCGAAAAAGTTTAGACAGGTTTCTGTTTTTGGCTCTGCTGTCTCCCTCTCACACGCTTGCCCACTTATGGGAAAGGGGCATTATTTCTCTTTCTCACAAACACACACAAACCTTTACCGCTGCTGATTCTAATTTTGCTCTTTTTTATACTATACAGGTAGTGCGTTTAATATCGTTTGAACGCCATCAGCATGATTTAACTTCTAATCAACCCAGGTTGGTAAAGAGTATAGATGCCAGGATTTATTCATTCAGACTGACTGTCAACATGAACTGCAGCCTGAAGCTTGATTTGTGAGGAGAATAAAATGTAAATAATTACATGTGTTTAAATAGATATACAGTGAATGGAAAGAAGAAAAAAAATAGTACTAGAATGTGTTTTTGTGCTTCTGTCTCTGTGTGTACGGTAAACATAGTACGACATGTGCGTGTGTGCATATTTGTTCGTCTGTGTTTTCATGCACATGTATGCCATCAAACACCCCCCCAG